AAGAAGAAGAAGAAGAAGAAGAAGAAATCAGTATTATGTACTACATGCAGTGAAGCAGAGACTATTGAGCAAGTACTTCTACATTGTGCAGTATATACCAAAGAAAGAGAGGAGCTATTTAAGAAACTGAGAAACAGTTTTAAAATAAATTTAATTTATAAATTATAAATTTATGGGACACCGGCAAAGGATAAGTATCGCTTTTTATTTCTCGTCTTTCCTACTACTTGTTTCACTTCTGTTTCAGTTTTTATAACCATTTCTTACTATGTGTCAGTAAGTTGTTGTTCTTTTGTTTTTCATTTAAATGTTAAGTTTTTACATTTTGCTGTATGCATTTGTCATTTTTATTTATTTATTTTTATTTTTAAAATGTGTATAGGTAGTATTTATAAAGTTTTAGCTTTTAGTTTTGGACCTGTTTTTAGTTGTTTTAATACTACAATTGATTGCTTCTGTTGTCCTCATTTGTAAGTCGCTTTGGATAAAAGCGTTTCACTATATCAAACCTTTTAAGTTGTGCCTCAGGACAGACAAGTACTATGAGAGAAATTCTTAGTTATCTGAAGATAACAGGATTAGAAAGTAGAATTTAAATTTCATATTAATACTACCGGTTGGTTTATTTATTTATTTATTTTCCTCTTTCCCGCTAATGCTTCACACTCCAGTCCAGTAGGTGGCGGTAATACACCATAAGTTGGCTTGTCAACCGCCGTTATTAAATCGTACAAGAAGAAGAGCTCGAGCGGCACGTGTAGATGAGCAGTGAGCACAAGTGTGATGTGCACTCGTTTATTCTCGCTTTACAACAACTGCTTTTGTGCTGTAGAGATCGTTCAACATCGGTCGCATCGGGCCGGTCGAGCATTTTACACTAAATATCCAAATATCTCCTCAGATAATCACCCGGTAAGTTGAGCTTTGTTGCGGGAAGCGTGCTCGCGAAGGATGTGGGAACTAGAGACAGCACAGCACACTCTACACTAACGTTACTAAGTTATATAGGAAGCGAAGTTGTTTTTTATTAAACGATCTTCTTTGGTATCGTACTAGCCTCTATATAGAGGTGTAACAAACGTGTGGTCCTATTGTTAGCACATGGTACACGTCGCGTGGGTGAATATAAAGAGCTGAATCCAGACTCTTCCCAATCAGTTAGACATTTGAGGTTTCCCTGTACACCTTTTACCATGTTATTCAGTGTTACTACCACAGTTACTGCTCTTTTTTAAGTGTGGTAGCTTGGTATAATAACGAACATTATCATCAAATAATAAATTAACAAAACCGCATGATCGAAAGCTTTCTGATGGTAATTGATAAATTGTTAATATTTAATATTTTTAGAAGTAATGGCTGTAGTAAGTAACTAGAGCATTTTGGCGGAAACTATGGTTATGCTTAACACTTTTGCCAAGGATAGCATGATATTTTCCTCATGGAAACGATCAGCTGTAAAAATGTGTATTTCCTTTCAATGCACGAGTCTCTGATCAGCTTTATTTGCTCATCTGCAGTGTGATTTGCTGTAAACCTCTGGCTTTATATGATATTTGATGATTAATGAAAGTGGTGTGTTCTCAGGTATTAATAGAGAACAGGGAAACCCATAGATCATTGATTTGATATCCAGTCAAAGGCTTTCACAGCACTTCAAGAAGTGTTTGCTCATCAGACAGAGTTTGGCTTGAGTGAGATTGCACTTGTTAGATGATGACGGAATCTGCTTTTTAACAAGAAACAACACAAGTCAATGCTCCCTTAAATTGTGCAGCCCGCATTTAATGAACTGTCATATAAAATAAATCCTGTGTTTTCGTTTGTCCAGCGTGTGATTGGCAGAATGAAGTATATTCTGGTGACGGGCGGCGTGATCTCGGGCATCGGGAAAGGCATTATAGCCAGCAGCGTGGGAACCATCCTCAAGTCCTGCGGCCTACGCGTCACAGCCATCAAGATCGACCCCTACATCAACATCGATGCAGGGACCTTCTCGCCATACGAGCACGGTAACCCCACACCACTCGTCATAGATTAGATCCACCCACGTCTGATATCAATCATTACAGGTCAGTGTTACAGTGTCGTGCAGATCAAATAAGATGAGTACTCATTTTAAATCTACAAATCTTAAGTGCACAGCAAATGATTATAACTTGCCACAAAAGAAGCTGTTTGCTAAATGCAAGCATCACTATTATTATTATTATTATTATTATTATAAACTAGGCAATTATCTCAAAAGTTTTGGAAATGTAACATTTTTAAATGTTTTTTAAAGCAGTCTCTTCTGCTCACCAAAGCCTGCATTTATTTGATCCCAAATACAGCAAAAGCAGTAATATTGCGAAATACTTTTACTGTTTAAAAGGAGTTTTCTATGTGAATATCTGTTCAAATGTAATTTATTGCTGTGATCAAAGCTGTATTTACAGCATCATTACTCCAGTCTTCAGTGTCACATGATCCAGAAATCACTCTGATATGCTGATTTGCTGCTCAAGACACATTTATTATTGTTGAAAACAGCCGAGTATAATTTTTTCAGGTTTCTTTGATGAATAAAAAGTTCAGAAGAACAGCATTTATCTGAAAATAAAATTTTGTAACATTATAAATATTTTTATCATCACTTTTGATCAATTTAAAGCATCCTTGCTAAATAAAACTATTAATTTCTATAACCCCCCCCCAAATAAAATATTTATACATGTGTATATAATATATGTATAATGTTACACAAGCAGCAAATCAGCATATTATAATGATTTCTGAAGGATCATGTGACACTTTATACTGGAGTAATGATGCTGAAAATGCAGCTTTGATCACAGCAATAAATTACACTTTAATATATATTCAAATAGAAAGCAGTTATTTTAAATAGTAAAAATATTTCACAATATAACTGCTTTTGCTGTATTTTTGGATCAAATAAATGCAGGCTTAATGAGCAGAAGAGACTTCTTTAAAAAACATTTAAAATCTTACTGTTCAAAAATGTCCATTTTAATTGTTTTAGAATAGATGTAATCCACATATAAATGATTGGGTCAAATTGCAGACAAAATCTGAAATCTGATTACATTTCAATTGATAAAAATTCTAGAAGTCTAGAGACCAGTATATCCTAGAGACTTTGGGGTGGACAACCAACCATGTAGACCACCCTGAGAAAACACAGCAACATGCTAAACAGCCACTTGGAAAAAACGAGCAACCACCTAGCAATCGCCCAATACACCCTAATAGCTTCGGAGCATGCCCAAACCCCTCAGAAGCAACCTCGTAGCTACAAAACAACTCCTTAGCATCACAACCACTCACTACTCGAGAACGTGTATAAATCTATCTTGAGATATAGAGTTTAAGACATCTTTGTTATTAATACGGGTGATGGTCGTAGAGCTCTGTGGTCTTTATATGAATGTGTTGTATTTTGTGTAGGTGAGGTGTTTGTTTTGGATGATGGGGGAGAGGTGGATTTGGATCTGGGCAACTATGAGCGTTTTCTGGACATCAGGCTCACCAAAGACAACAACCTGACCACCGGAAAAATCTACCAGTCCGTCATCAACAAAGAGCGCAGGGGAGATTACCTGGGCAAAACCGTACAGGGTGAGACGGCGGTCTTATGCACTTTCACAATGGCCTAGTTTAGGGTGAGTTCACACTCGAAGTTGGAAAGTGATATAGCCTATTTATCACACTGTAATTATTAATACACCAAATATACAGATGCAAACCAAAAGGCACAAGGACACAACCTGATTGGACGGCTTTTATGGTGTATATTTGCAGAACATCCAAAACAATGCTGTGAGGCTAAATGCCAGCAAATAGCATTTTTACCAGCTGAAAACTCTCAAAGAGCTTATAAAGTGTGTAAAGAAGATAAAACCGTGCCGGGAAGTCCTCCGTTGTGCGCATACATGAACATTTTCACATGAAAGTAGCTGGAAACACGCTGTAAAGTCACACTAACGAACCAAACCTGCCAAGTGTGTATACACCCTTAATGTTTATTGAAGTTCCTGTCCATGTCTGCCCCATAGACGCTCACTGTAAGTTAGGGCTGTCACGATTCCTCGATTCAATTCAATCCTCGATTGCATTTTGCCCGTGTCGAGTAACCGGCAAAACTGGTGCATTCCACGGTCGAGAATCCATGAAGCGCATTAGACCGTTTTCCAAGGCTGCATGATATATTAAACCCATTTTAAAATCATAATAAAGCATAATGCTGTTGTGAAATCACAAACGCTATGATGCAGGATTAATATGTGCGATGTAATTATTTACATGCATGCGTCTCAGAGTGTCTCCGTTCACAGTAAATGCCGCTCCGCACAAACGTTATCATTTACATGTGTGGAGCATCTCAAACTCCGTCTCTGCATGCGTGTTGTGAGTTTTGGGTTTATTATAGCGTTGATCTGGGGATGCAGCGTGCACCATTTCATCAGATTTGTAAGATAAGTCATTTATAAACCTACGCAAGCACAGGAGAAAACATCAATATCTTTCGAAACGTGCTACTGCTCATCGCAATTTCAAAATAAAAGCTCAAACCCGGGCTCTGAGTTGCACGTTTTGATGTCCACATATGCAAGAAATTGCAGTGGCTGTAGCATTTCTGTCGTAAGGAAATGGCCAAATATTAAAGATTATTTGGATATTTGAATGAAATGTCGTTTAGTCAATATTAAACAAGAATTAGATCGCGCAGTGAAGTGTTAAAACAATCGGCAGGTCGTCATAATGTGCAATGTACATTAGCTCTATTGTTTATAATACATTAAAGCAATAAGCCCCGTGAAGCCGTGGTTTACAGTGAATTTATAACAGCTAAGGGGTGTTGCTAAAACCCCCTTAGCTGTTATAAATTCACTGTAAACCACGGCTTCACGGGGCTTATTGCTTTAATGTATTATAAACAATAGAGCTAATGTACATTGCACATTATGACGACCTGCCGATTGTTTTAACACTTCACTGCGCGATCTAATTCTTGTTTAATATTGACTAAACGACATTTCATTCAAATATCCAAATAATCTTTAATATTTGGCCATTTCCTTACGACAGAAATGCTACAGCCACTGCAATTTCTTGCATATGTGGACATCAAAACGTGCAC